GGTATGCTAAATGTCTATACTACCCGCTAAGCTACATCTTCTTCCCCAAGTGTTTCTCTTTGCAAATCTCTGAGTTTAGTGCTGGTGATTTTGCTTAATTTCAACTGTCATGGAGTTTACAAGCTTGCAGACAAGGGAGGCCAAAATCAAACCCTAAAATTGCACAGAAAATTATAGTTCTGATATGTGCACTATTAGAAAGGTAGGCAAAGAATAAGATAGGGGCCAGGGTCTTAGTTTTAATTAGAAAACTAAGGGAGATTCCATTTGCGCGGTAATAAACTTTGAGCTGTAATAAATTAGGAAAACTAGAGCAAGACATTTGCAAAGTCCTGAAGGAGGGAACAGCACTGGATGTAACTGGCAGAGAACAAGAAGAGTTAGCTAGACACCCCCCCCCCTTCTGCCCTTCCCAAGCAGCTCCACTTAGAGAAGGTAGTCATTTAGGAACTAGATTTCTGGATTTCTTAGGTCAGGCTGAGGCAAAATACTTATTCTGATGCTTTATCATTTTGTGAGATTGATATGGTTTGAATAAGAAGTTCACTGTAACCTGATACATAGAAAGTCTATTTTTCATAGTTTCATGAAGTTACGTTCTATCTTCTGAAGACTCTTTAACTTTTAATTCTTAATTTGGTTGGCATATAAAATCTGTACTATATCAATCTACCAATTAAAAGAAACATCAGACAAACCTGTTAGGATGGCCTTTATAGCTCTTTCTTTTTCTTTTTCTTTCTTTTTTTTCCCTCAGTACATTTATTTTCTTTTTTTAAATTTTACAAAAACTTTATTGAGAATTTCATACATGTGTATAAGGTGTTTTGATCAAATCCATGCCCACTCCCTCCCCTCCAACATTCCCCCCTCTGAAAAGGTAACCCTAAAATCTTTTAAGTATTAGATACAAGCTCCCAAATACTGTCGACATTTTTGGCCTTTGGAACAGAGTATGTTGCTAACAGGCCCAAGGACATTTTGACTTTTAGCCAAGAAACTGGCTACATTTCTTTGGGGTCTCTTTACCCTAACTGCCTAGCCAATTCCTGCCTCCTATTCTTATCACACCATCCTCTGAAGGGGTTACCCAAATTGCCAATAGGAAATAGGGACGCTGACCGCCCGGGCTTCTTCCATGCTGAACAGGGACGCAGGGTGAGGCAGTTGGAGTACCCCTTCAGTTGGTCTATCTAAAAGACTCCCAAATTGCATAACTCTTGTCTCTAAGGGTAGAGGAAAGTTCTTGAATCATGACTAGGAGATGTGAAGGAGAAGGCAAGAGTAATTAGCATTACAAGTTCTAGACAGGGAACTATAAAAAAGTCAGAATAGAGCAATTTTCAAATGTTCATATGAGAGTCCATTGGAGTTTCTTTTCAAGATTCCAAAAGCATCCCTCTATGGGTTCCTTCTCATTTTTCTTTTGTCTTCCAAGGCTGGACTAGTTGGCTTCGAAGAGTGGCTGGATACTTAGGTGAGGGTCTAGTGACCCTGCTTGGTCCTCCTCTAATGAATAAGCACAACTTTCAACAAGCCCAATTGTGATTATGTTTAGCGATCAGTCTCAGCTGAAGCCATGATGATGGTACTTATTTAATGCAGAATGGACTGCTGTATAGTATCATCTTATTAAAAGAACCTGGAATTTAAAAGGATTTGGTGCTAGGAGCCACATATGAGGGAAAACATACGTCATTTGTTTTTCTGAGTCTGTATTACTTCACAGTATAACAGTTTCTAGATCCATCCATCTACCTGCAAATTTAATTATTTCATCTTTCTTTACTCCTGAATAGAACTCCATTGTGTTATATATACCACACTGCTTTCAACCTTCTTCCTTGCCAGATCTTCTGTTTGTTTTTTCCATTTGCATTTTGCTTTGAATGGTTATACTAAGTCATAGTTGATATCATAATTTATCCATAGTAATCATATTCTAATCATGAGGTACACGTAGAGATCATTATACTCTTACATTTTTAATAAACTGATTCTAATTTTTTTTAAAGTTTTGAGACAACATGTCACTATGACTGGCCTGCAACTCACTATGTAGACCATTCTAGCCTCAAACTCACAGAGATCTGCCTGCTTCTGCCTCCTGAGTGCTGGGATTAAAGGCATGTGCCACCATGCCTGGCCTTAATGTTTTTTGTATTACATGAAATATGCTTTCATAAAACATTTTAAGTCCCCATCTTTAATAATTTCAGATCATCATATTTAGTCTGTTTTCATAGTTAATTACCTTTATCTCTTCATACAAAATGACTTCCATTGAAGTGTGTTAGAACTTGTAGCTTTTGGTTCTTGTTTTTATGGTGGGTCAAACTCAGGCAAATGCTGAACCTCAGTCCTTAGTTTGTTGAGATAGGGTCTTGCCATGTAGCACAGACTGACCTTGAACTTGCTATATAGTCCAGGCTGTCCTCAAATGCCTAATCCTCAGATTATAGGTGTGGCACACGCTGGCTAGGACCTATAATTTTGAAAGGAAGATTTATATAGTATTATAGAGTTGCTTAAGGGTCTGGTATAATTATATTAAAATTTTGTATCTTTGGAAATCTCAAGAAATAAATAGCTCTGTGTTTAGTTCAGAGTGGACTAAGAAAAAGTTTACCAGGTTTATTTGAACTATATAGGTAACAGGAACAGGTTCCTTGTGAAAAGGCTGATGGATTTGTTTAATGACATGAGCATTTGAGAATTTTTCTCTTTTCTTTTTGCTTCAAGTTAGTGAGATGTACAATTATAGTAAATATTGGCATTTTGGACAATATATCAGATATTTACAATTAGAATTGGCTTCATAAACATACAATATGCAAAGTCAGTTTGGAAACCTGCAAGAGCAGCACATCTCTTTCCTTCTGCCTGAACTCTCAGTTGACTCAGTTTGATTTAGAGTGTTTGGGAATGTGTGGGGGCTTTAAATTCAGTCTATTCTAGTTTACATCCCAGCTGCTAACTTTTCAGCTGTTTTGTTTACAGGAGGCTATTTTACTTTGCTAAGCTTTGGCTTTCTTACCTAGAAAGCGGAATATCAGTGCTTGCTCTTCAAGTGTGCTGTGGAAATTAAATTAAGAACCCAGGGTATTCAGAGTATCTGTTGCTGGCCAGAGATACTCAGCAAAGCTTAGGCTTTTCTCTTCACCCAGTTTTATTTATTTTTTTCTAGGTGTTTGATGTAATGAAGTATTTTGTAAACTCACATTTCATATGAAATCAGTGTTTTTCTCTTCTCTTCACCAAGTTCTATTTATTTTCCTCCTATGCACTTGTAAGATAAAGTAATACAGTATTTTTTCAAATTCATATTTGGTATGAAATCAAGATATTATTTCAGTCAAATAGAAAGACTTAAGTCTTTTCTACCCCTAAAATATAGTGAAGTTTCTGAACTTTGTCAAAATAGCTGATGCATTTAGGAGCTTCTTTAAAGTGAGACAAAACAACAAACAAAAAGCTAATGCCAAGTAAACTGCCTCGATATTTGAGGCAGTTATGTGGTACTTAGGGTATTTTGCACATTTGTGAGCTTTGTTCTCAATGAAAACGTTCTTACAGATGTTTAGGGTCTGATTTTCCCAGAGGACCTGCTATCTCAGCCATTTCCTTCAACTTATAGAATTCTATATTTAAAAAATTAACTTTACCAGTTATAATACTTAGGATTAGTAAAACTTCTTAATTCAAAATATAATGGATTTTAAAATATATGTATTTTTTAAATATTTTTAACTGTGATAGAAATTTCTGACTAACATAGTAGAAAAGTGAATTTGTATCCCCTGTTAAACCTTGGGGTATTCACATAGTGAGCTAAAATAGAGAGCTTGGCCTTTGTGATATATAGGAAGTTGTGTTAATGTTCTTTTGGAATGTTGCAGATAAGAAAGGACAGCTATTTGTAGAATTCCAGGACAATCTCTGCTTGGTTAAACTGCCTCTAACTCACCAGAAATCTCTGTCACTGAAAAAATCAGTTACGAAGAAACCAAAGTGTCCAGTTAGCTTTGCTGTGTAGTCAGGTGACTAAGATGACTAATGATTCTGTCCTATTTTAAGTGTTTATGATCTATTAAGAGGGAAGCTCGATATAAATGCCCTGGAAGTACTTTGGAAGAATCAGTACAACTAGGAGAAGGTGAAGCCTTTATAGAGGGAGCTGCATCTGCACTTAGCCTCCACAGTTAGAATAGCAGGGCAGAAAGGGGATGGGGAGTGGGCAGTGGCATCCCAAACAAAAGATGGAGTGAAGGAAAGTTCGAAATGTAAGATGTGTTTTAAGAACAGTGAATAAGTTGATGTGGTTAGAACCTAAGGGAATTGGATACATTTGGTGAGAAATTAATCTAGAAAAGTAGAAGTAGGACAGATTGAAGTTTCTTGCATGCTATTTAACAGAGGTATGATCTTTTTCTTCAGATAGCATAACTGTAATTCAGGGAGAAAAGATAAGGAACTTTGTGGTTTGGGCGGAAATTCTAAAGAGTGACTAGAACACAGAAAGAGGAACTAGAAGCCCAGAGATGATTTAGGAAAATAATTGCAATGGTGAAGGCAGAAATGGCAAGGATCACATTGGGTTTTATAATAAGCTATCTGTAGAAATAGAAGACTAGGTTTTAGTAATGTCAATGTCACTGACAGACCTACTTAGTGCTCAGAGATAAGCAAAAGTGATAAGTCATATGACTTATCAGTACTTCAGTTTGTATAACAATGATGTCCAATTAGCAAAGGTAAGGATCTTGTTTGGAATGAAATGAAAGTGCTTCTCTGTGAAGGACTTTTTATCAATTGTAGTATACTCCATTAGATGTAGCATCTTTCATCTGATGCTATAGGAGATGGCATTATTTGGGGTTCCTCGGGTGATGGTGGTAGTATGTGATGTTACATATACAAAGCCTAATATGAGGTGTATAAAGTTCTTCAAATTTGTTTCATCATCTTTTCAACATTAAGAATAACACATAACTTTTTAGTCTTCAAGAGACTTATGAAGCCAAGAGACATGAATTCTATGGTGAACGTCAGAGGAAAGAGGAAGAGATGAAGCAGATGTTTGTGCAGCGAGTAAAGGAGAAAGAAGCCATACTGAAAGAAGCCGAAAGAGAGGTGAATATAATGGTTTGATGGGATTTGTCCTGTTTTAGATGTTCTGTTGAATTGGAGGTCTATCTTAAGAGTGTAATTAAGACGCTTGAGGGCTCAGTGGCCTTTGAAAAGCATAGCATACAATCTTTGAATACAAACTTTGAAGAAATCATAGCCCGAGATCCAATTAAAATTTTAACCTTTTGAGCAAATATTCTTGCATTAGAAATAGTTTAACCAAGATTTGTAGTATACTAACTTACTAAGAAGTATTCCAATACTTTAACCAAACATATTTTAGCTATGGCTTAAGCCTTTTCAGACAGTAACGGGGGTTGTTGTTCAGCATAAAACAGGCAACTGTGTGAAAGCTGTGAAATGTCTTTCTTTACATGCAGACTCAAACTTCATGAGTGAACTAGATGACTTTGTGTATCACCTTGGCACAGGAAAATATTAATAAATTTCCCATAATTTTGTTTGCTTCTCATTCTTCAAGCAGTGATTTTAGTTTTAGTTTGTTTTTTATGTATATGTATATGCATGTGCTTGCAAGTGATTGTACATGTTTGTACATTCGTGTATGTAGGCCAGAGGTTAACCTTCGGTATCATTCCTCAGGTGCTGCCCACCATGTTTTGAGTTTTGTTTTGTTTTGTTTTGTTTTGTTTTGTTTTGTTTTGTGAGGCAGGGTTTCACTATGTAGCACTGCTGGCCTGGAACTCACTATGCAGACCAGGCTGGCCTAGACTCAAACTCATTAGTGTTGGGATAAAGGATGTGTACCACCACACCCATTTTTGTTTGTTTGTTTGTTTAAGATAGGGTCTCTCACTGGTTTAGTGCTCACCCAACAGGCTAGGCTTCCTAGCCAGCAAGCCTGTCTCAGCCTCCCCAGTGCTGGGATTGCTAGCATAGGCTATGACATCCAGCTTTTTTACATGGGTTCTGGGGGTTGAACTCAAGGTCTCATGCTTGCACAGCAAACACCTTATTGATTAAGCTCTCTCCACCCTATTATTAATCTATATCAGAAACATAGACACATTCATGTCTTTCCACAATGTTAGCATTTATTGAATAACAATGAAACCATAAGTGAAGTCAATTGATGTTTCATTGACTGCAATTTGCAAGTGATCCCAATTTCCTTTGATAGCTGGCTATTGATGATAACAAGCTCTTATTTATTATTTTTATTTTATGTGTATGAGTGTATTGCCTGTGTGTGTATAAGCACACCCATGTTGTACAATAGCCACGGAGGTCAGAAGGCATCAGATTCCCCTCAGGAACTTGAGTTATGGACTGTTGTTAGCCAGGAGTTGAATCCAGGTTCTCTGCAAGAACAGCTAGTGTTCTTAAATGCTGAGCCATTTCTCCAGCCTCCACAAGTTCCTTTATTCCGATCTTAATCACTGATATTAACTCTCAGATCACACATTACATTTCATACAATAATGTGTATGTGCAGGTTAGAGAAAAGCTTCAGAAGCATTTAAGAGGCTATACGTTCAAAGAGGCCTTTCTGGAGGCAGAGGCAGAGAAGTGATATAGATGCAGAGTCACTGCAGGTGATTAGATAAGACAGTTGTAAGCTGCCTGAGGCAGGCAGAGCCTAGGTGTCATAGGACCTTCAAGGTGAGTAGGTGGATGGATGGATGGTGGGTGGGTGGATGGGTGGATGGATGGATGGATGGATGGATGGAAAATCATTTGTGGTGCATCAAGGATTGAGCTCTGTTGACTGGGATTGTAGAGACTTTCAGTTCCGGGTGGTCAGATGACAAAGCAATAGAGCCCTCATCATCTCAGTGTTTGGTACACAAGGGTGGGGAAGTGGAGATGGAACAGGAAGAAACAGGAATAGGAAGAAAGTTTAGGAGTTCGAACCCTTTGTACAAAGAGTCAGGCTTTGGGACTAAGGATGTAGCACAGTTAGTGGAGTGCTTGCTGACATACAAGAAGCCTCATCAACTAGGCATGGTGGCACATGTCTTGTAATCCCAGCACTCAAGAGATGGAGACAAGAGGATCCGAATTAAAGACCTTCCTTGGCTGCACAGCAATTTAGAGGCCAGCGTGAATTAAAAAAAAAAAAAGTCAGGATTACTATGATACCTTAGCGTAGGTTTTTGGTTCATTTACATAGGGTGGGTTTTTTATGTTCCATGTAATTCTCTATATATTTCATGTGCCATTTATTAGCGTATTCAGTCTCCACCTAGGATTGTATGTTGATTATAACGAATCATAGGTTATACTAACTCTGAAGTGCCTCTAAACCTGTGCTAGTGGCACCAACTCTTTTAGTTCTCCTGAGGTGTAGGGGAGGTCAGGGTTTCAAGCCATCCTCTTTGCCAGCTTATTTTTTCATATGCTAATTTTGCAAAGCTTTGGCTAAAGGCCTTCCAAACTTCACTCTCTGCCCTACTTTCTTGTCTCGTGCTTTGTGCTGGACAAGTGGTTGTGTATGTGTGCCCAAACAAGATATGAAATTATTCTGCTTCTGTATTTGTACTGAAAATGGAATCAAATACCCCTTTCACAGCCTTAAAGTCCCTGCTTTTAAAATTACAATATGGAGTAATTTTAGAGGAGGACACAGCCTAATCTACACACACATACACACACACGCGCACACACACACACACACACACACAAACACATGCAGAGTTACCTTTATTTACCTATATCCTAGGTGCCATGCTTATATTTGTCTATGCAAAAGCTCTTGCTTCAAAGGGAATAAGAGACAGTTTATTCTTTAGCAAAAATGAGTAGCCATGGCCTGGGGACATGAATTCAGGCTGCTTTGAATGATATGTTCCATCATAAAAGCAGTTACATAAACTTTTTTTAGTTATAGAACATAAGAAAGTTCCAAATTAAGACACTTATCAAATCCATTTCTGGGGACCGCATGAAGGTGTGTGTAGCTCAGGAAACTCTACTGTAGGTTTCAGTTACGATCTGATGAGGTTCTTTCTTTCTTTCTTTCTTTCTTTCTTTCTTTCTTTCTTTCTTTATTTATTTATTTATTTATTTTTGTCTTTTTGAGACAGGGTCTCCCTGTAGCCCCAGCTATCCTGGAACTCACTATGTAGACCAGGCTGGCCTTGAACTCACAGAGATCCACCTGCCTCTGCCTCTCGAGTGCTGGGATTAAAGGCGTGCACCACAAATAAACATGTACTTAACTGTTTTCCAAAACAATGGATTACATGATTTTTAATATTACAAAATACTCTTCATGTCTTCATGTGATGACACATTACCTCACCCTACCTGAAAATGTTGAGACCTGACTGATGTAAAGCCTTTTTCTGAAGATCAATATCTAGGTAGTACGGAAACTAAATTATTAAGAGCCTAAATCAGTTAACACCAACAAAAAAAGCAAAACAAATTGCTAAATGTTGCTTTAAGTTACCTATAGTATAGTGTTATGCACCTATGTGGTCACTCTGTATGAAGTTCAGTTCTAACATATTCTCACAGATTTTTCATAATATTACTGATTTGCAACTTGGAAATGAATAAACTATAAAGTTAATTTTGCTATGTACTACATGTTAGGTTCTATTCTGGTAGGATGATTCTGTTAAGTGTATTTGTGTTGATTTTATGGCTTTATTCTCTCAGTATAGACAATGGTGACAATTAGAGACCATGAGGTAGAACTAATTCTTTAAACTTGGTGACTGGTAATAATGAACCTATAAATTTAAGACATTGGGAATGAATTATTCAAGTTAGAAGGGCTATTATTGACATATTGTTCATAGTGTAAATCACTTAATCAGAACACTAAAATTGTATCATATATACATCATTTGAGGACATTATACAAATGGGAGAATGAAAACTATTTAAAATATAATGATGTCAGTTGTAAAGATATTATAAAGATAAAGTTTAATTAAATATTACTATAGATTCCGAGTTTATGTTTTATAAAATTATTCTGGATTAAGTCTTAAGCAAAATATAAATCAGAAATAAAAGCACAATGTTTTATCAAGGGAAATTCAGTTATGACCTATGCAGATTATATTTCATATAATGAAGCCACTAAGTCTCATTGTACTTTTAAGGCACAAGAACAAAGAGAAAGATACCTTATTTTTGACATTATGCATAAACTACCCATCTACAACCATTATTTACCCAGTAAAGGTTGCATTTTCTTTAATGGGAATATGATTATTATAAATGAAGCAGAACTGATAAGGTTCTTAGTTTTTGGATTGGTTAAAGTTAGTGGTCTGTTAACAATACCTTTCTGGCCAGGTGTGATAGCACATGCCTTTAATCCCAGCACTCTGGAGGCACAGGCAGGTGGATCTCTGTGAGATTGAGGCTAGCCTCATCTATGTAGTGAGCTCCAGGCCAGCTGGTACTACAGGGAGACCCTGTGTCAAAAAGAGAAAAAAAAAAATAACTGAAAATAATACATTTTTATTAAGGTAGGCCTTTTGATGTACCAGTGGCATGAACGTTATGGGAGTAACCAACTACTTTTTTTTTATTGAATTTAAGGCCCACTCCACAAGTGTCTTGTGCCTGACACCAAAAGTGGGGTCCAAAAACCATGTTTGGGTAGACCATAGACCCTAGGGGAGAACCTAGTACTACTATTCTGCTAATTGTACATAGTATTAAACCAGCTTCTAAAGACTTTTCCTTATACATGTAGTATGTTTTTCAGATGTCATCAATGAAGCTTCTTTTTGCAGTAGATGTCATTTAACACAGAGACCTACAATTGGTCAACACAAAGAATAAGAGACTATGGAGTCCTGAGCCCTAAATGGGATATCTTTATTATAACAATTCCTGCCAAGGCTAAAAGATCATCTTGGAAGAGGGGATTGAAAGGTTGTAGGAGCCAGAGGTAGTGGATAATGGCAGCAGAATGTATTCCAGATATAACAGGGCAGTTGCACATATGAACTCACAGCATTTGAGGCTGCATGCATGGTGGTCAAGGATTGACATCCCTGAGTCAGCATCATTTCAAGTTTTAGGGCCTGAAGTCTGGAAGATACTAATCATATCAGGAGGTTAAGTGAAAAAGGACCCAAATCACAGGTAAAATTAAAATGGCAAAAAATAAGCTATGGGAGCTAATTTACAACAGCTAATTTTGTTCACTGTAAAGTCCCATAGCTTTGTCTCATTTGAGACAATGGATGATGTCCAGGCATCTGGTCTGAAAGAGATGGGCCAATATTTTTATTGTGAAATCATTTGAAGCTTAATCTGTTGAATTCTGGAAGAAACATTGTGAGTAAACCATTGAAATAGACTGAAAAATTAGAGCAACATAAGAAACATCATTTGACAAATAAGAGAGGCCAAGTATTACCACGCCTATTTAAGTACTGGTAGGAGGACATCTTGGGAAGATTTTAATGCTGTTGAAGAAAAGATTTGCCTAGTAGAGCCATGTAAGGGTGGCCATACATGATATTAAGATACCTCCCATGGTAATTTTAATGGCAAGAGCTATTGGTTATGGGTCCATAGGTTTACTTATTTAAAAATTGACTCTTATGGTCCCTTTTGAAGAGAAAGTATGCCCTTAAATTGTTTATTCCTCAAGAGGCACAGGGGAGGAGGGCTCTTTTGTTTCATATTTTGAACATTTTCTGGTAAATGGAGTTTAATCCTGGGAAAATGAACTCAATTAGTTATTCCTTGAGTTTGACAGTTATTTGAGTACTGTCCCTTTTAAATTGACTGAAAGTTGTTATCTGAGTGACATTCTTTAGGAACACTAGATTCCCTGACTGAACTAGGGGGCTCAAGTTGAGAATTCTGATTAGGGCTAGCGGAATTATTTTCTTGTTTTTGTCTATACTTTTCTGTTGGGTGTTTATGACCGTATATGTGGCCAAAAATTCATTGTTTTTACTGCTAACATTGGTTGAGACTCTTTAGAGGTTACTTACACAAGAGGAGCCCCATTACTCAATTCAAATTTTTCTTTATTGTGCATCTTCAGGAATGGATCGGAGTCATGCTGACCATGTAGCTTCCCTTGGAAGGGACTATTTCCCTATCCAATGATTCTCCTCTTTTCAGGATATAACAGAGTTTGTCCTAGTTTGCTTTGTGTTGCCATGATAACCACCACAACCAAAAGCAACTGTGGGAGGAGAGTGTATTTCATTTTACAGTTTATAGTCCATCATTGAGGGAAGCCAAGGCAGGAACTCAAGGAAAGAACCTTGGGACAGGAATTGAAACAGACCAAGGAGGAACACTGCCTACTGACTTGATTTTCCTGGCTTGCTCTGCTGCCTTTTTTAGACAGAGCAGGGGATGCCTTCTGAGGGATGGCAGTACACACTATAAGCTGAGCCCTCCTACATCAATTAGCAATTAAGAAAATGCCCCACAGACATGCCCACAGGCCATTCTGATGGAGGAAATTCTTCCATTGAGATTCCCTCTTTCCAGGTATGTGTGGGTTTATGTTAAGTTGACAGAGTCCAGTCTCTGGGTTTTCCCTGGCCTCTTTGATCAAGAAGATGGGTGACTTATCAGAGTAGTAAAGCTCTCTTAGGGGCGTTCCTTTGTCCCCAGAGTCCTGGCTGACCTTGGAGGGCAAGTGCCAGAATACTGGCTGTACTTTTAGCCTTCTCATCCTTGTTGCTTCAGCCTCCAAACTTTAGATTTTGAAATGTATGTTTCATTACTCTTGTATAGTGGAAGACTGATTTTAGTTTTAATTTTTGTGTAACATTTAGACAAATTTTGACAAACAGATTTTTAATAAACATCAGAATAGAATTATTTTGATGAAACAGTTTTTTCTTTAAGTCAGCTTTTATAAATGTCACCAAGAGTAGATAGGTATCTTAAGACAACCCCAACTGAAGTGTTGTGGCAATCAGACAATCTAGAGAGAGACCAAGCATTCACTTGGTGAGTTGGAGAACTCGCATTTATTTATGCTGGCAGACCCAGAGGAGCTAACTCCCTGAAGTTCTAGATCCTAACCCATAGTTCCTTACAATTTCTATAGGGTACTCCATACCATATCTTCACTGCTACAACATTGATTGTTAAATTCCTAGATAACAGTGGTATTCATTTCTCAAGATAGCTTTGAGGTCCTTGGTATTCTTCGTTTTAATAAGCATTCATAAAACCACTATGAGGTAAGTACTATGTCCTTTAGTATAAAAAGTATGAAATCAGTCATCAGATGACAAAAACTCTCTCTCTCTCTCTCTCTCTCTCACACACACACACACACACACACACACACACACACACATACAAAAAAAACATTAAATACATGGGTATGTTTCTTTTCCTCTTCAAAAATAGAGGTTTTATATCAGTGTTAAGATTTTGACCTTTGGAATTTTCATTACCTTTAATCGTCATACATATACAATCTTTAAGTTTCATCTTTCATAAGCCTTTGGCACTCAATCCTTTTATATTTTTCTCTCTTATGTTTATTGGTTCTTTTGCACGTCACTTCCTTTCTTAATGTAATGTGATAGAACAGAATGAAAACATTTTCTAAAGTGTATTCACAGATAGGTAATCTAAGGTTACATGTCCACAAAAACTGTAAAGTTTTTGTTGTAAGTCTCAGGCAGTTTTTATTGCTGCTTTTTTTTTTTTAATAAACTCTTTAGCACACATTTTTTTCCTTGGATCTACATGAGTCTGAGAGTTACAAAATGTCACATTCCAGCAAGAGCTAGCGAGCCAAGATAGCAGAGCTTCCATTGATCTTAGATTGTGAACTATCTTGCATGGACAAAAGAAGGCAAGAAAGAAAATACATAGAGCAAAAAATCTTTATATGTTAGCCTTGTAATTATAGTTTGAAATACAAAGGTCATTTGTTTCCCTGAAGAATTGGGAGTATCTAGATAGCAAACAGTTACTTTTTCCTGGAGAACCAAGGAAAGAAGAAATAATCCAGTGGTATAGATGGACTGGCTGTTGTGTCTGGTACTGGCAGACTGGGCCCAGCACAGTTGTCCCTCTTTATAACATAAATTTACCGAGATGACCTACCATTGTCTGATGCACTATATGTTAGGAGTAAGGAGTAAGGACAGAGACAGAAAAGAAAACAGTTCTTTCTTCCCTCAGAGTGATCATTCTTTTCATCTGGAAATAAGGAAAAGCTACCAGAGAGGGAATGCTTGGTTTTGAAGGACCACCCTCTGACATTTTCAAATTTAAGTTTCTCTTAGTAGTCTCCATGTAAGACCAGGTTGGATTTACTTTTTTATTCTCTGCAGAATTTTGAATCAACGTCAAATATCTAAATGTTGAAACAGACTTGTCCACAGGTATAAACCCTTTGAATTAGGATCAGATTTATAGCTTTTATAGAAGTTGGAGTTGTCCCTTAGGAGAATAAAACCTGGACATAGGGAATTTATTTGCCTTTTCATCTGCAGGACAAATGCTGTCAGAATTTAAACTGCTATTCCAAAGTGAGGTTTCTCTGTGTCCCCTCTTTTGAAAGTGTCTATGTGAGATTATCCCAATTCTTTTCTCTTTTCCTTTCTTTTTCTTTTTCTTTTTCTTTTTTTTTTTTTTTTCTGTTTCTTTATTTTTGAGAAAGTTTCTTCCTGTAGCCCCTGCTGGCCTGGAACTCACTTTGTAGACCAGGCTCACCTCAATTTCTCAGAGCTCCACCTACCTCTGCCTCCTGAGTGCTGGAATTAAACGTGTGTGCTAACACACTTAGCTACATTTTCTCAATTTTTAAAGATGCATCACAAGGGGGGTGGTGATGAGATAGAGGCAGACCTGATTTCTCATCTGAAAAGGTAGGCAAGGGGGGTTGTAGCAATTTTGTGAAGTTTTGATACTTAAAGAACAAATAAAAGTAAAAAAAAAAAAAGAAAGACACTAAGCTTTGCTGGAACCATGGAAGATAATAGATGGCTTGGGATGGGGGTTCTTGTGTTGCTGAGCTAGAATCACTCCTGTGTATGTGCTGCCACACAGTGTCAATTATGGGAATTGTACTCATTTCACAGCTACAGGCCAAATTTGAGCACCTTAAAAGAATTCACCAAGAAGAGAGAATGAAACTTGAAGAAAAGAGAAGAGCGTTGGAAGAAGAAGCACTTGCTTTCTCTAAGAAGAAAGCTGCCTCTGAGCTAGTCCAGAACCAGTCATTTTTGGCATCAGGTAGCATTAGGAAGGACAAGGACCGGAAGAAGTAAGACTCCTGCTACCCTGTCTCTTACGCACCCCCCTCACCCCTCCACCTTTTGTCTCCTGGACTACATGCTCTTCCTCCCTGTTTCCTTCCTCCCTGTCTCATTCCTGTGACCAACATTGCAGCAGCTTCAGAGCAGACATTCTTTGTTCATCACTGTTGTCTCAGCAATTAGAATAGCACCTGGCATATACTAGGTCCTCGGTGCTTACTTATTATTAAGGAATAAACAGAATAAAAATTCTTCACAGTATGAAGAGGTCAGATAGCTAGGGGGAAAAGATGGCTACTCTTATTTCACAGCCCAGCCATGTCTCTAGTACACAGCTAATACTATGAGTTACTTTGTATTTTATCTCTCTGGAAACTACATTTTGAGGGAGAATCACACACATAAAGTACTTTATTAATAAAACCTACTTTTTAGGCTCACTTTTAAGAAATTAATTCTACTGATCATTGATGTGTGAGAATTTTTATTTTAATAAGGGAATCAGGCTATCGACTGGAACTCCTGTGATTTCAAGTCAGAGCTGGTGAAATCACTGATGGATGTAAAGATTCAGAGGAAGGTAGAGAGGGCCACAGTACAAGGGGGCGGCATGAGTAGCAATTGGATGATAATCTCAAGAGCATAGGTTTGGGGTATGTGTTAAACTTACCAAAGTTCTAGAAAATATATTTGTTTTTCTTTTTGGTAATTTCAGTGTGTACTTTGTGTCCCTCATTTTATTTCTCCTGCTTAAAAAAGTACTTTTTCCATTTCACTGATTTTTCCTATAGTGAAATCCATCATGACTTGTTCTTTTGGGAGTCCTCTGTTGTAGTTCTGTGTCCCCTGACACAGAAGGGCCTACTATGCCCTACTGTGCAAGGCCTAGTATGCTCACCTGTATTATTATATTTCATATTCAACTTTTTGTTGAAAGAATGAATGTGTAAGAACTGTGTTTGATTCAAGTATTAGAGTTCAAAAGATAAACTATAAATACAATTTATTACTGGTTTCACTATGCTTTGAATTTAAAAAGATCTTTTTACCTTTATTACTTTTTCATCATAACCCAGTACCACTAAATTAGTTCCCAATTTTTCCCATATATTAAAAACAATTTGCATTTACCGTATAGAAGTTGTCACTCCTTGAGGGTCATGCTATTGTTTGCAAAATCAGCCTAACCCATGCATTCTTTTTTCTTTCACTCTTGGTACTGGGGATTAAACCTATGGCCTCACTCATGCTAGGGTACTCTAGAACTGCACTATATCTCAAGATCATAATTTTTTTTGAGACAGTGTCTCAAACATCCTAGGCTTACCTAAACCTCCTTGTGTAGCTAAGAATGCTGCTGAACTTCTGATCCTCTTTCCTCTACCTCCTGAGTTCTGGAATTACAGATGTGTGCTACCACACATGACTTACGAGATTATGCACGTTCTAGGGATCTAACCCAGGGCTTCATGCATGCTAGGCACTGTACAAACTGAGCTTCATCCCATTCCCTGCATAAGCACATAGATTTTTAAGAGCTAAGAATATCCTCAAGAAAATATGACTTGATACTTGTTTCTCTATTTCAAAGCAGTATAGCTAAATATCCTATAACATGTTAAATGTATATTTGCTAAACTTTGTGAAAGCTTTATGAAATTGATAATTTTTACTTTCTATATTGTTTTTTACTGTACCATTCAAAAGGATTTTTCTCTTTCCAGCTCCAACTTTATGTGACACAAGAGTTCGAGAGCACAGACAGCCGTCACAAGCAAAAGTTACTAAAAAGTTATCAGTATGCCTTGATATTTTTTGCTGCTTTTGCTTCATCACTATTATTTGGCAAATGACCACAATTATTCACATTTATAGAAAAGTATTTTCAGATCTGAAATTGCCACATAAGCCAGAGTATATATTTCTTGCACATTTACTGTTGTTAGAAATCTTTAAGCTGCTATTTTGCATTGAACCTTAGTCTGCTTTCCCACTGCTGAACCATAGTCATTTTCCCATGCATTACTCTAAAGAGCAAAGGCTCAATGCTGTTAACTACGGAACTCTTTCAGATTATGAATGTGTATGATTACATTTTTACTTATGGATGAACCTTTTTTGCTATATCCTAAACAGAAAATCTGGAGGCATATACTTTGGAATGTATTACAGAGTTAAATCTAACATCAACCATGGAAAACTTTTTAATTTTAATACAGTTACCCAGTTGGCAACATTCTAAGGTATTTTGTGTCAAATTTATAAGATTATTATTACCTTTTATGCTTTAGTATGCTTTAATATGGTCGGTATATCACTGTGATTAAAAAAATGTTTAAACATTAAAACACACATTTGAAACTGGGTTATATTTTCATTAAGATACCTTACATAGTTTTGAAAATGCTACCTTTCAGGGGAAAAATAATAAAGTTGAGAAGTTTCTATTAAAATATTTCTTAGAAATATAAGCGTGAACATTGGAATCTTAAATATATAAAAAACTTGGTAATTCATATTTCAGGGGAATATTTGCATTCAGTGCCTTAGTAGTCCTAGATCATTTTAATGTTTTCTTTTTTGTAATGGGCATGGATTTATAAATTTTCATCCTTTTGTACTTGAATT